TCATAAATAAGCTTTAAAAAAATAATAATGATAATAATAGCGTAAATTATACACGGAGCTATGTTACGCGTTCTCTCACCACTTTTTAGCTTTAAGCTCCTTGTATCGCCACCACTTCGATGTATTGTAGCCATCATGAGTAATTTTTCCGAAAAGTCCCCCAGTCTGAAAGTCAGTTTGTAAGTGATAGTCTTAAATAAAATGAAACTTGGCAATTAATTAAAAGAAGCTTAAAAGCAAACTGCCGATATTTTGAATTTGAAATCAGTCGATCGTGCCCAGAATGCATTGCTTATGCTGAAGCTAATGATAGATCTTACGCAATTTTCTGAACGACTTATTTATTTATGGTCATTTAAACTTACGATAGTTGTTTTTTTTTTTTGACGACAGTTTTTTTTACAAACTGACATACTGCAAACAGTACTCACTGATCACTCATTTATCAGTTGACATCGGAGGTTCTCAATAAGTATCCTCAATCTGTTTTGCATGAATTTTGGATGAAACAACTTGCCTCGTGATGCTAAAATTCATACCATGTCAACTGGTCCATTATTCTTAATGGTGCATGCATGTATGTCAAGCCTGGAGCATGAATTTTAATTCCCACCTTCGAAATTGAGTAACCACTGAGCGCAGCGTACATCGACCGTTATTTTTGTTTCATTTTTTGTCGGTATCTGGAATGAGATCTAATTAAATGTACGTATCTGCGACACATTCGATTCAAGACTTTCACCTTGGCGGAAGTTGTACTCTTCTGAAACTTTCTTTCCGCGACGAATCATAATTATAATGTTCATTGAAGAACGACCAGTTAAATCAGCGAATAAAAATCGAGCAAAAATTACTGTAAAAAATCGAATTTCCATAATAATGCTTTCCTCATTCTGCCCCGGAGGACAACTTCAGCTCGAACCGATCGTGAGCCCGCAGGGGTTTACACACTCGAGTTCTGATTGGAGTGTATTTCGCTCTGTCTACCCTCCCTTCCTTTCGACCTCCTTGCGCAGCTACCTTTCTCCCCTTTTTCCTAGCTCTCTCTTCTTTCTAATTGAAAATTTCAGCCGAAAGAGAAGGGGAGAAATTCTGCCGTGCTAAGGAAAAACGCCGTATGAACATTCGAGAGTTGCCGAATTTTCTCCGATGAAATATTCATTTTTGGAAAAAGTTATCAATATTTTTTCTTGAAATTTTCAGACTATTTAGATCAAATTACGAACAAAATTCTATGAAAAATCGAAAGAAAAATATTGGGAAATATTCCCGAAAATTCATTATACAATATCAAAGGAAATTCGGCAACGCCTAAAGGCTCATACGGCGTTTTTCCTTAGCACGACAGAATTATACTGGTTGATTTTTCGGGGGAAAAAGGGATAGTGATATTATCTTTTTGCTCGATGCACATTCCTCCTCTCACATATGAAAAATGATCAGGTTTTTAGAATTAATTAGAATTTATTAGGATAATAGAAGTATCGTTCTGCTTTTGATTTCTTAAAAGAAAATTCGACGGAGGGAAGAGAATGCTGCTATTCAGGTGCCCTTTAAAATCTCCTCATACATAATTGTTGAAGGTAGGATAATGAGGTCCAAGAGGGGAAATACCTTCGGCTGGTTGATTTATTTTCAAATTGACTGAAAAAGTCTCAGCCAAATAGTTTTACATGCTCCGTTGGTATACTAAATATATATCCAATGGAGTGATAATATGAGAAAACTAAATTTTTGCCAGTAAATCAATTTCAACGTCTCAAATTTTTACATGACGTCAATCATTTTAATCTCTCAGAACCATATTTTTCATTAAGGATAATAAAGCGGTCAGTACTTTCAATGGAATAAGTCAAAACTCACATGAAAGCTATTTTACTTACATCTGTAGACATTTTTTGCTGTCCGACGTCGTCAGAACATTGTAGGAAACAGAGTAGATTTTTATTTCTATAAACCTATTAAATGATTGTGCAACTCTCTCTCTATCTCTCTCAAAAAAAAGGGGGGGGAATGAGAATGATCAAAATTTAGCATCATTATTAGTGGTATATACAAAATCATCAATCGCGAGGATGGTTTTTTTCTTTGTTATCAAATCATACCCTGTTATCTGTCATGTTCAATATGCCGAACACCGAAAAGCCTTGGATTGGACTCGGAAGTAACACTGGCTACCCTAAGACCATTCATCAAAGAAAGTTCAATACAACAATGTTGTTTATTGATAATTTTAGGGAAAAAATAATAAAATTATCAGTATTCATTTCACCCAGAGGAAAGGCGTGAGGTTTCAATGAGAGTGCTGTAACGGTTCGCCATAAATAAATAAAGGACATGAATCATACCAAGAACCGTTAAAATATGCGCTAAGAAACTTGGCCGTTTTTACCTAGTCTCGTTGATTCCAATGCCTATTGTCTTTAGGTCCGTATCATTAAAACATTCCCACAAAATATTTCCTCATTGAGATTTCTTTAACAAAACATTCACTCCTCAGCCTAAGTCTACCAAGAACCAAAAAAAAAAAGGTCAACTACCCACCAAAACACGCAACTGCCCAATTGGTAGCTTTCGGTGTTGACCTTGCTGTTTCCTCATTGCAGAGTTTCGTTGAACTGGAAATGTCATCGGTTAATGATCGTCTCTTATTTTCAGTCCACTGTGCGCTGTGAGTCTGCACATTAGAATTTTCGACCGGTTTTCGTCATTCGGCTATTACGTAAGTCTGATGATGCCAATCCAATTTCTCCACCCGGCAAAATTCGCGATGAGCGGAAAATGAAATGAGACAGAGTCTGGCGCGCAGCACTCCGCTCTGTTCCCAGTGTTTTGCCAGCGTTGGTGTACACATTCAGCGGCGCAGATGTCATTCTCCTCATAGATGAAAGGAAAATGCCATAGCTCACTACTCATGAAAATGATAGATTCATTCGGTCAAATAAATGTCAGCATGATAGTCCTTCAGGGTGTCAATAAGTCCGGAAATGGTACTGATTTTTTAAGGGCGGTCCGGAAGTACTAAAAAAGTGCGGAAATTCCGCAAGAAGGTCCGGAATTTTTTTCATTTTTTGGCATTTTTGTCGCAATTTGGGCGAGAAATTCATTGAAATTTTTCGAATTGCTCTAATGAGGGTACCGAAAAAGTACTGAATTTTTCCATTGAGGAGGTACTGAATTTCTAAGAAATGTACTGAAAAAGTACTGTAAAAGTACTGCTTTTTGGTCAGCCTGTTTAAGTAGACACCCTGTCCCGGAATTTTCAATTCGAAGGGTTCGCTTATTGTGAAATTCAAATCTTACCATACGTAAAAATATCCATCAAAGTTTGCCCAAAAGCTCAAGACTAACTTCAAAGGTTTCGGATTAAAAAAAGTCTCATCGCGTCCCGGATACTGTCGCGATCTTGTCCGTTTACATCGGGACCTGGGAGCTCAACCTACAGCAGCCGAAAACTTGCAACCAATCAGGAAGGATCAAAATTTTTGTATGCTAAAAAGAATTATCCCAATCCAAGCATCGTCACAGCTGAAAAACCTAATTCATCCACTACACCGTAAAAGACCTCTGAGTAAAATCCGGAGGGCATTTCACTCCGGACTCTGGAGCTTATTTTGCCCCCAAAAACCTGGAGTATAGGACTGCTCTAAGCAAAAAGGAACTGAACCACCTCAACTATCGCCAAATTTAATCGGGCATAATTTTTTATATAAAAACGGTTGTGCGGATTTTTATGCAAATAGTGAATTTTTTGCATAGCACGAAGCAAATATATTCCTTGACATTTTCAAAAAAAATCCGCACAAATTTTTCTTGTTAAAAGTTGAATTGCCCAGTTAAATTTGGCAACAGCTGATGTGGCTTGGTTCCTCTCTGCTAAACGCGGTCCAATTATTTGAGTGCGGATCAAAATTTAATGTATTTTTTGTGTATCTCACTCCGTACTCATATCACGTGAGGTTTTGGAGGAAAATATGTTCCGTGGTGACGTGCATATTACACTCAAAAATTTCTTACAATTGGACGTATTTCTGCCAAACGGAACTATGTTTATTAAAACATGAGCCCTGAGACCCATAAGAATATGTGCAAAACAGGGCTCACGTCATAATGCACACAGTTCTATTTGGTAGAAATTAGAGTACCTGTATAGCGAGAGTATGGACAGATCGCTTCATGGAGGGCTTAGGGCCCAAAAGTGCAGCCACCCTTCTAACCAACTTCTAACGCACAAAATTTCACTGCCAGTCTGCAGATTCCAATTCTAACCATGATGGCCAAGAATGTACAGAAATGAGCGTTCTTCCGCGAAATTGAGTAAATTTATGCAAAAACTGAGTCAAACACGTGCTTAATAAACGACGGTTCGTAACAATAGTATTAGTAAATCGTTCTGGATATTTGAAATTCATAGGTTGGCTGCATTTCTGGGTCCTAACTTTATTCGCAGAAGCGTCGGTGAAGGCCTGATGGATTTTCGAAGTTTCACATCTGTCCATACTCTCGCTATACAGGTACTCTAGTAGAAATACGACCAATTAGTACTGCAAGCACCATCGTACTCCTTGAAAAATATTACGTGGGCGTAGGCGACAAGATCGACGAATCTGCGCCACTCTTTGTCAAGCTCACTTTTCGTCCCATGGCGAGATCGATATGACTCCGCTCAGCAACGACAATCGCGGCCAAGGAGCAATCCGCCCGGTTTGACAAACATCCCCGAAAACCGCGACATCCATCACTCATCGCCGTCACCGGCGCCGCGGCTGGGATACACGCATGGCAACATCCCGACGTCACCACGGACGTGTTCAATAAACTGCAACAAAAAAAAGAGCGTCACACGAGTGACGATTTCACGTTTAATTAAATTCACACACTCTCGCGGCTCGCACGCAGCCGCCGCGGGGGGGAGTGGGGGGGCGCGGCGAAGGGGGGCAAGGACGCAAACAAGACGAAAACACTCGCGGCGCGGTGTCTTGTCAGTGTGCACTCGGCCTGTGACAAACCCGCACCGCGCGCCCAAGCCATGTCTCGCGCTCGCCGAGCCGCTCGCGCGTTTTCGCGTTTTTGCTAATCGCTATCGGATCCCCCGCTTATCAGTCGATTAAGCTCCAGCCGCGATCCCATTAGCACTCTTCCGAGCGTCTTCGCCGCGTACTTGAAATACATCGCGGCACGCGCGCGTTTGTCTCGTGCGATTAAGATTTCAATCGAAGCAAAATCGATCTTCATGGAAAAATATCGAAGAAATTTTGATCCGCTCACAAGTGAAAGATCGCGGAAGCGCAAGGCTAATTTCTAAGCCGTGCGTGGAATTCGAAAAAAATCGGTTGGATTTGTGTCATAATTTTTAGTGCTATATTTTTAGTTATTTCGTCGTTTTAATGTGCCTTAAATTCAGTGCTTTATCCTAGATTAGAGTATTTTTAAAGTATGAGACGCGATTTTTGCTTTTTTAACAATATTGCAACTACTCCTTACTATTTTATAACTGCAAACCACGTGATCTAATTTTTATCTGATTTTACACCGAAAAGTTGTTGGTTTTTGAACTTGGCCTCGTGTAATTTTTGTTTGGTGGCCAAGAATTTGTGAATAATCACACTGTTACGAAAATATTAAAATTTCTATCATTTCATTGCACGCACTACGTAAAGGAAAAAATAAATAAAGTTGTGCTTTCCGTAACTTGGCACGTGCGGTAGCTGCCGGTTTTAACTTTGCAGCAGTGAAGTGGTTCATTCGACCGTCGCAACTGTGGATATTTTGTGCATCTGTTTTAATACGTCCGAAACGATTCAATCATGGTGCAAGGTGAGCTCAATAAGACTCAAATAATGTCATACTATATTTATGATAGCATCAGCTATTAAAAAGATAAAATTGGGCAATGACTTTGTCAGCAGAATCAATTCGCATATCGCACATCGGAACCCACACTTTGATACTTTGACTTGCAAATACAAGAGTTTTACTCAATCGACCGTAGCTGTCAAAAAAACTTTTTCCTCGTAGTATTTTCTTACATTACTCGCTCATGTTACGTTTTCTTGAAAAGAAAAAAAAAACTCCAAATTACACATACTTGTAGCTTTCTAGAGCACTTTCTGGATCGACGCCCATAAAAACATTCTGCCTTTGGATTTAAAATCCGCTTGTATTCACGCCTAAGGCGTAGGGATTCACTGTACCGCAGTCCCCTCTAAGTCAAATAACTTTCAAAATGATCCTCAAAGGAAATAATTTTATGGCATGTAATCGCTTTACTCTTTCGACCAATTTGAGGCGCACTGGAAAAAAAACACATTGAATCTAGAGTCCAGACTCTTAAAAACATTGACAAGAAAAAATACTCTTGATTCAATCGGATTTTTGCTTGAATCAAAACGAAATCCGCTTAAATTAAGAGGCTTGGTTCTTGATTTAAGCTAGACTCTGATTGAATCAAGAGTACTTTTTCTTGTAGATGTTTTTAAGAGGTTGGACTATGGATCCAATGTGTCTTTTTTCCAGTGCCACAAGAGCGAGGCACCCAGACACCACAGCGAGGAATATGCTTCTCAATTGTTTAGAAACCAGAAAGTATAGTAAATAGCATGGATCTTCACGAGAATTTTAAAACCCTCTTTCATACGCACAAATATTCAAAATTCAGCATTCCTTCCTTGTCTTTCGCAACTTTAAAGTGATAGCTTTGGCGCACCTCGTCTAATACACTGCTTTCTTCCGCAAGGAGGCAGTCTCGTCCTACAGACTGATTTTAATTCCATCTCGCACATGAAAAGAGTAGACGGTATATGAATTCTTTTGTCGGACAGTCATGGAGTGATTGTTTTGAAAGAATCATTCTGTATATAGTTCACGAGGAGCGTATCTTCACTTTCTTCTTAATTGAATCGCTTCATGAATCACGAAGGGAGGACGAAGTTATAATAGAAATTCCCTCATCCCACTCATGGAGCCTCTATGGACACGCAGCCGAGCTATCGCGGCCTTCGCGCACGGTCAGACCACTTTGTCCGAAGGAAGCATCCGATGAGCAGTGATTGACAGAATTATTAAAGCGAATTAAATGGAGCGAACCCTGATCAAGGGAGCAGGTAACCAAGAACACCTCAAAATAATCGACTATTGACACGAGAAACACTGCCGACGGAAATTTTGACGGCCGTTGATGGATAGAACTCATCAATTAACCCTTTCGATCAAAGCAATTCGGTACTACTGACAGCTTGAAAGTATGAGGAGTCGTGTTCTGATGACTATTGCGGGTAAACGTGAAAGCACATGACATAATACACGACATTTTTGTTTCATAAATAAGATATAATGTAATAAATTCGCGATAAAAAGTGTTTTGGTTTGCCTCATCAACATCCACCGAGAGATCTTTAAAATACCTATATTACTAAATCAAAAGGCACCAGATACATCACATTAACATCTCACTGAAGCCTTGTTTAATTAACCGTTAATATCCGCTAAAAGAATTAACTAACGAACCCTTCGCTGTCCCCAAAAAGGCGTTTAATAATAAAGCAGGTATACTAGTTACATTATCCTTATAACTGATGTATAAATACAATAAACTTTGTCATCAAAACATGACTTACATTGAGCCCCCAACGGGCTCTCGTATCGAATGAAATTATTTGAAAAATGTAGTCAGTTCCATGAACAATCCAAATTCTGGGCTTATTGGAAAAAGTAAATTGCGCTTCTTACAGCAAATCATGTAAATATCCAGGACCGCTAAGTGAAGAGTTTATTCTTATTACATACGTCTGCGCGCATATAAATGTGTATGCATTTTTCGTCTCGTAAGCCGTATCTATAGTACAGAGAAATTTGCATTGCGGTTTATAAGGTCCTTCGAGGACATTCTTGTTCAGTGATAAATATTCCCCCATCTTGTTGATATGAAACGCCTCTTATATAATAAAATCCGGCGTCGTGCTCTCTTAAGCCTGGCCGTGACTTCAAAAAACTGATTGCGTAATATTGAGCCTCATTAACCAAAATAGAATCAATAATGACTGACGAAAGTCATCTCAATCTTGAATGAATTTTCTAAAAAAACCAGCAGCTGATTGTGACGACTATCCCGTTTTTTTCCTTGAATGCTCATCAACTCGGTATAACTATTCATGCTTTCTGGTGGATTTGTTGCCTATTAGGCGCCATTGAAGGCGAATACAAGATGTTTGCTGAGGCATGAAGTGAACTAAAGAAGGGGTATCGACAAGGGTAGTCTTTTGGCCCATCCTGGATTTCCTCAACTCTACGATTTATTCCTCCTTGAAGGACTATTTGAACTTTTGAACTATTGATTTGGACTAAGTATTGAAGGACCTGTATTTTATGGAATGCATCATGATTTGATCATATTCGGTCTCTTTTCAGGTCTACTAAACTTCTGTCCCAAAAATAGGTCTAAAGGCCGAATTTGGCGAAGTATGCGGGTCTTGCGAGTTTGTTGTCGGAAAAATCGGCCCTCCTACCATATTTAACAAGGTGGAGAAATGGTGCTGGGTCCACACCATTTCGCGGGGAAACAAAGCCAAGAAATACCAAAAATTATAATTAGAGTCAAAAAAGTCATTTCTCCACCTTGTTAAATACAGTTTCGGGCCACTTTTTAGTGTTTAATTTTTAAATTTACCATATTTAGGTCGACACTATGAAACTCAAAATGAGACCGACTATGACTTAAGCATTTTCTTCAAAGAGCAAAAAATCGGAGAGTTAAGGGAATTTACGTAGGGTGGGCCAAAAAACGGCCCTCATCGATACCCTCCTTTACGTCTATCGAATAAATATTTTTTCGTGCTCCTCTGGACGCCACGTTTTTTTTCCAGTGAAGTATGGTCGACTCCTCAATCCTCCATTCCCGGCACGATCAACCGAGCCACGGTTTCTTTGGTCCATGCCACGTAGAAACCGAGAGTTTGAAACTCATTACGAAGCGCGGTAGCATCGGCGCGTGCGGCGTCGTCGCTTCATTTCCACGGTCTCCAATCGGACGTATTTCTATCAAACGGAACTATGTGCAATATGACGTGAGCCCTGTTATGCATGTACTCTTATGGGTCTCAGGGCTCATGTCTCAATGCACGTAGTTCCGTTTGATAGAAATACGTCCAACTGGAGCGAGCATGTCTCGTGAGACGCGCGAAGCGGCGGGCGCATCTACGAAAGCGATACCCACCTGCTCTCGTGATGACATCTACGGAGCTCGCCCAATTTCAGAGAAACCGAATGCACCGATCGCCGATGCCCATGCCTCAATTTTTTCCGCTCTCCATCCTATCGAATGACGAGCAGGCGTCGGAGTACTGCTCCTCACACCTTTACGCACGCAGACCTCGCACGCAACTTCCAGCCGCTTCACTTTCCATCGAGCTCCATGTCGATCGGTCCAGTTCCGCGATCGGAATCGTTGCTCCGATCCATAGAAGTTCGGAAATACGCATTTTTGTGGTGAAATTTTTCTCGAACAAGCGCGTATTAGCTTCAGAATAAGATAAATAGGCTATAAAACGGAAGATGAAGGGGTGTTTAAAGCGTCCTCTTCTTCTTCTTCGTCTTCGTCTTCTTCTTCTTCCTCTTCCTCCTTTTATTCTCCTTCTTCTTTTTCCTCTTCTTTTTCTTCTTCTTTTTCAGCATCCATGTCGTCTTCTTCTTCTTCTTCTTTTTCATCAACCATGTCCTCTTCTTCTTTTTCCTCTTCTTCGTCCATGTCCTCTTCTTCTTCGTCTCTGTCGTCATCTTCTTGGTATTCTTTTTCTTCTTCTCATTCTTCTTTTTGTATTCTTTTCTGTATTTTTCTTCGTCCTTCACAATGAGCCTCTAGACAGGGTAAGAACTGGAGGCTCTAAGCACATGAATCTGCATCAGAATTTCGCGTAGAATTCAATGGTACAAACGGGAATTCATGAAACCAACTAATAAGCGAGATATTTGCGTAAATAGACTGCGCATTTTTGTAAATCCCGCTCGCCTAATATACGAATGACGTCACATTTGTAGCCAATAGGATTGTCGCAGCGCTGCGCAGCGCCGACTGAGCATCGGCCATCGAAAACGTCCAACGCTCCCAACGCCGGGATCGTAAACAAACGAAAATTGATAACAGGAAGGACCCAAGCACCCAAGCAACTCGAAATCTTTTAATTTTCATTAATTACAGTCCATGTTCGACTTCAAGAAAGCATTTGACAACCATTTTCCTCGTATTTTATAACCTGGAGCCACAGCCTATCGGCTCATTGTAATGTGCACTCTGAGAATCAGTTCCACAAGTCCAAACCCTGACATCCTTTTCTTTGACCATTCTCTTTTCATTCTCGCCACAATTTAAGTGTTATGCAGTTTCTTTATCTAAAATATGTGGTCTTGAATTCATTCAGGAGTCAGAAGTTTACCTTTCTTTTAGTATTACAGCCCTTTGACCCCTCAAACTTCACCGATATGACCTCATGTAGTTCAAGGTTTCTCTGGCCCGAACCGAGTGATTACACATCTGAGGTGTGTCTCATGGTTCTTCAAATTAGCAGTTTAGAACTAAATTAGGGACTACAGTGACTCAATCCAGTTCTGCTTTCTTGTTCAATGTTTGTTATCAGTGTCTGTTCTTTTTCGTGACCAATCTAGTGCATGCACTGTTACGCTATAAGTACAGGTATTATTGCTTTTTTCCTGCTGTCAGACCTTTTTCTTAAGCCTGCTGATTCACCACAGAATCTGCCCTAGTTGTGTAAATAATTTGGTGTGTAGTTATTGAGTTAATACCTCCTTGCGGTGATGCAAACTTT